GCCCCCCCAACCCCCCCCAGTGTCCCCCTAAACCCCCCAGTGTCACCCAAACCCCTCCAGAGTCACCCAAACCCCCCCAGTGTCACCCCCAGTGTCACCCTGCCCCCCCCGTGTCACCCCAAGCTGGCAGTGGGAGGGGGGAACACCCAAAAATGGGTAAAAAAGCCCCAAAAAATTAAAAAAACAAATTCAAAACCACCCGGGGGAGAAAAAAACCGGAAAAATCAACATGAAAAACGGGTGAAAAACACCCAAAAACGGTGAAAAACGGGTGAAAACCACCCAAAAACTGTGAAAAATGGGTGAAAAACACCCAAAAACGGTGAAAAACGGGTGAAAAACACCCAAAAACGGTGAGAAATGGGTGAAAAACACCCAAAAACGGAAAAACTGAAAAATGAAATGCATTAAAACCAAATTTGGGCTCAAAAATTCCGGATCTGGGTAAAGGGAAAGTGAAAATTGGATTTTGGAGATGAGGGGAAAAGGAGAAATTTAAACTTAAAAAACTTTAAAACAACCTTTAAAAATCCTTTAAAAATCTTTAAAAACCTTTAAAAAATCCTTTAAAAAAACATTTTAAAACTTCTAAAAATTCCTTTAAAAACCTGAAAAAAATCTTTAAAAATCCATTAAAAATCCTTTAAAAACCCTTTAAAAATCCTTTAAAAAACCTTTTTAAAACCCTTTAAAAAATCCTTTAAAAAACCTCAAAAAATCCTTTAAAAATCCTTTAAAACTCTTTAAAAAATCCTTTAAAAAACCTAAAAAAAATCTTTAAAAATCCTTTAAAAATCCATTAAAAATCCTTTAAAACCCTTTAAAAAATCCTTCAAAAAACCTCAAAAAATCCTTTAAAAAACCTCAAAAAATCCTTTAAAAAATCCTTTAAAACCCTTTAAAAAATCCTTTAAAACCCTTTAAAAAATCCTTTAAAAAACCTCAAAAAATCTTTAAAAATCCTTTAAAAATCCATTAAAAATCCTTTCAAACCCTTTAAAAAATCCTTCAAAAAACCTCAAAAAATCCTTTAAAAAAACCTCAAAAAATCCTTTAAGAAATCCTTTAAAACCCTTTAAAAAATCCTTTAAAAAACCTCAAAAAATCCTTTAAAAAAACCTCAAAAAATCCTTTAAAAATCCTTTAAAAAACCTCAAAAAATCCTTTAAAAAATCCTTTAAAACCCTTTAAAAATCCTTTAAAAAACCTGAAAAAAATCTTTAAAAATCCTTTAAAAATCCTTTAAAACCCTTTAAAAAATCCTTCAAAAAACCTCAAAAAAATCCATTAAAAATCCTTTAAAACCCTTTAAAAAATCCTTTAAAAAACCTAAAAAAAATCCTTTAAAAAATCCTTTAAAAATCCTTTAAAAACCCTTTAAAAAATCCTTTAAAAAACCTCAAAAAATCCTTTGAAAAACCTTAAAATCCTTTAAAAAATCCTTTAAAAAAACCTCAAAAAATCCTTTAAAAAATCCTTTAAAAAATCCTTTAAAAATCCTTTAAAACCCTTTAAAAAAACCTAAAAAAAAAATCTTTAAAAATCCTTTAAAAATCCTTTAAAAAATCCTTCAAAAAACTTTCAAAAACCCTTTAAGAAAAACCCTTTAAAAACCCCGTAACGACGCAAACCATCCCCAAAACCACCTTTAAACCCTTCCTCAGTGGGGCAAAACCCAAAGCCGGGCCGTTCCCCACCCCCACTCGGGGAATTCTGGGGGGTGGCGGTGCCGACAGCGGGGGAGGGGATCCCCGAGTTTGGCTGTTTTTATTTATTTTGGGGAGGGGGTTCCCCGAGTTTGGTTGTTTTTATTTTGGGGAGGGGGTTCCCCGAGCACCCACCTCTGTCTCTGCCCCTGCCCCGCCTGCCCGCGGCGCCCGGCCCCGGCCACTGCAACGACACGGTGGCACTGGTGTCACCTCCCGATGTCACTGCTGTCACCTCCCGGCGGGGCTGGGGGGCGGCGCGGGGCTGGGCGGGGGGCTGGCGGGGCGGGCAGCACTTACTGCAGCGCCTCGCGGAAGAACTGGAGAGCGCCGTGGTTGTGCTTGAACACGGTCAGCATCACCTTCTTCATCTGCGTGCTGCAAAGAGCTGCGGTTAGAGCTGGATGGGGGGTGTGGGGGGGAGAGCAGAGTGTGCTGGGTTCGGCCTGGAGTGTGCTGGGTTCGGCCCAGAGTGTGCTGGGTTCGGCCCAGAGTGTGCTGGGTTCAGCTCAGAGTGTGCTGGGCTCAGCTCAGAGTGTGCTGGGTTCAGCTCAGAGTGTGCTGGGTTCGGCTCAGAGTGTGCTGGGCTCAGCTCAGAGTGTGCTGGGCTCAGCTCAGAGTGTGCTGGGTTCAGCTCAGAGTGTGCTGGGTTCGGCCTGGAGTGTGCTGGGCTCAGCTCAGAGTGTGCTGGGTTCGGCCTGGAGTGTGCTGGGTTCAGCTCAGAGTGTGCTGGGCTCAGCTCAGAGTGTGCTGGGCTCAGCTCAGAGTGTGCTGGGTTCAGCTCAGAGTGTGCTGGGTTTGGCCTGGAGTGTGCTGGGTTCAGCTCAGAGTGTGCTGGGTTCGGCCTGGAGTGTGCTGGGCTCAGCTCAGAGTGTGCTGGGTTCAGCTCAGAGTGTGCTGGGTTCAGCTCAGAGTGTGCTGGGTTCAGCCCAAATTGATCTGGGTTCAGCCCAGAGTGTGCTGGGTTTGGCCCAGAAAGGGGCTTGGGATCGAGCCCAAAGTGTCCCAGGTTCACCCCAAACTGTTCTGGATTCACCCCAAACTGTCCTGGGTTCACCCCAAACTGTCCTGGGTTCACCCCAAACTCTTTTGGGCTTGGCCCAGACTGTTCTGGGTTCGGCCCAAACTGTCCCAGGTTCACCCCAAACTGTTCTGGGTTCACCCCAAATTGATCCAGGTTTGACCCCAAACTGTCCCGGGTTCAGCCCAAACTGTTCTGGGTTCAGCCCAAACTATTCTGGGTTCAGCCCAAACTGTCCCGGGTTCAGCCCAAACTGTTCTGGGTTCGGCCTGGAGTGTTCTGGGTTTGGCCCAAAGTGTCCCAGGTTCACCCCAAACTGATCTGAGTTCACCCCAAATTGAGCCGGGTTCACTCCAAACTCTTCTGGGCTTGGCCCAGAGTGTTCTGGGTTCACCCCAAACTGTTCTGGGTTCACCCCAAACTGTCCCGGGTTCACCCCAAACTGTTCTGGGTTCACCCCAAACTGTTCTGGGTTCAGCCCAAACTGTTCTGGGTTCAGCCCAGAAATGGCCTCAGTCACCCCCAAACTGCCCCAGGTTTGCCCTGGAAAGGGCCCTGGGTTCACTCCAAAACCCTACATTTCACCCCAAACACCCAGATTTCACCCCAAAACCCCCACATTTCACCCCAAAACCACAAAATTTCACCCCAAAACCCCAAAATTTCACCCCCAAACCCCCACATTTCACCCCAAAACCCCAAAATTTCACCCCCAAACCCCCACATTTCACCCCAAAACCCCAAAATTTCACCCCCAAACCCCCACATTTCACCCCAAAACCCCAAAATTTCACCCCCAAACCCCCACATTTCACCCCAAAACCCCAAAATTTCACCCCCAAACCCCCACATTTCACCCCAAAACCACAAAAATTCACCCAAAACCCCAAAAATTCACCCAAAACCCAAAAATTTCACCCCCAAACCCCCACATTTCACCCCAAAACCCCAAAATTTCACCCCAAACCCCCACATTTCACCCCAAAACCCAAAAAATTCACCCAAAAACCCCAAAATTTCACCCCAAAACCCCACATTTCACCTGTTGGCCACCAACTGCAGGATCTGCAGCAGGAACTTGCCCAGCCCACAAAACCCCCACATTTCAACCCAAAAACCCCAAAATTTCACCCAAAACCTCAAAATTTCACCCAAAACCCCAAAAGTTCACCCAAAAACCCCAAAATTTCACCCCAAAACCCCACATTTCACCTGTTGGCCACCAACTGCAGGATCTGCAGCAGGAACTTGCCCAGCCCGCGCCGCCTGACTCTGCTCTCCAGCTGCACCTCGTAACTGCGAGAACACACCCCAAAACAACCTCACAAACCCGGGGAAAAGCCCCAAACCCGGCGGATTTCAGCCCAAAACCCCCTCTCACCAGTACAGGACCTCGTCCCCGCACTCGACGTCGAAGCGGAAGTGGGAGAAGGCGACGGGGCCGGCGCCGGGCTCGCGGGCCAGCAGGTACCAGGCGCGTTCGTCCCGCAGCTCCTCCCGCTTCTCCCGCTCCTTCCAGCCCCACTCGCTCTGCTCGTAGCTGGGACGGGAAAAACGGGAGGGGGAAATGGGGATGGGGAAATGGGG